TCTGAATAGAAAGGACGAATAAACCATGTTATGGTGGTACATTGTTCGAATAATGATCAGGCTATCCATTGCATTAAAAAAAAACTGTAACTGGCGTATTCGCCCTTTTTCCTCGGAGCGCCTCATATTATGTTAATACTGGTATTTTCTTTTTGATAACTTTCTCTTTCAATATGGGTAACCAGATCCTACTACATTCTGACGAGGAATTTGCAACATAATTGGTCTCATTTAGCAGAATTGGAGCCGCATCTTTGATTTTTCTTTTTTACCATCCGTTTCTTTTAACTAAACTCAGAAATTTCTGATTTTCGAAACTGTTGATTATTGATGACTTACTTGTCACTGGACTCTGTACAGCTTACACCATCGAGTTAGAATCTATCGAGAGGGCATCATGTGACTAAAAACGACCTCACTTCGGCCATATTGTTAATATTGTTTTGAAACTTTTGACAGATCGTATATGTTTGTTTACATTTGTTGTTTTTCGAATATTTTCAGTTTTATAATACTTTTATAGAAGCTGTAATATATTGTGATAGTGCATAATAATTGTTTCTTGTTCTCAACGTAGTTGCAGTAGCAGAAGCAATGTTAATATAAAATCTTCAGGAATATCGTTCCACAGGTTAGTATACAAATATGTAAACAAAGTAATGGCCCGTACTTCAGAGAATAAATTAATAATATTTGACTGTATTAATTTATCTTTATGTATAATATATCGTGCTTTTTGTGTTTACCGCGGGATAAATAAATCATAGTTTATTAAAAATGTATTGCACTTTTTTAGATTATGATTAAATCTACTGAATAACTAGTCATATTTGTATAGTAGTTTTAATATTATTGAGTCTGGCCCTGATGTCACCGCCATATTGGTATTATCGTTAGCCTCGCCTACCTACGCCGTTTTTAATACATACGTTAATATGCTCATAGCTTCTCCATATATTATTGTTATGATTTTATCAGTAAATACTCACTACTACAATTTAGAAACAAATGAATTTGTATTTTTCTTCTATTTTGCACTAATAATTGTATATTTCTCTAAATGATAGTAAAATCATTAATTATTAGTTAAAACCGTATTTTTCTTGTCTTCAAAAGTGCTTTAAATATTAGAATAATTTGCTAATCCAAAATTGTCGTCTAATCCAAAATTTCCAAATGATACCGTAATCCTATCGTCCCTGAAAAGTCTCTACCTACAAAATATCTACCAATAAAATTGGATTTGTAATTTATTTTCAATTTTCTCATGGTCGATATACTCAAAGAAAGTACAAAATATAAAAAACAAAATTAAAAAAAAGAAAAAGTTTGCGACGAGGATGGGATTCGAACCCACGCGGGCAGAGCCCATTGGATTAGCAGTCCAACGCCTTAACCACTCGGCCACCTCGTCATGCCTAACGATGCGTCTACGTAGAAATAAGATACGGAAATATCAAATGAAAATAAATTCTGGTAAAATAGTTTAGATAACATTACTAATAAGCAAATACTTCAACAAATGATAACAAAAATTTATGAGATAATTATATAATTGTCATTATTAGCAACGAATTGTATGATTTTTTGTTATACCTATGTATACATTTCATATAGGTAATTGTAATTTAGAGGAATACAAGAGTGAATCCAGGAGGAATACAGGAGAGAATTAGGTGTAGAATGTGAAGTAGCGTTAAACAAAACTGCTAACAATATCGAAAAAAGTATACCTAATTGCCAAATCTATTACAGATGTGTGTAGTGAAACTAAGAATTCCTGTTACAAAGAGAATAAAACAGCAATTTCAATTAAAAATAAATGAATAGAAAACAACATTGTGTTTACAAAAGCAGACAAAGGTAACACGACTATTGCTATAGATAAAATAGAATATAATAACAAAACAATAGAATTCTTAAATAATCAAAATATAAACTTTACACAAATATCCGACAGAAAAATATCAAAAACAAATTAAGCTAGCGTTAGAAAATTCAAAATCAATACTAAATCCAATAGAACAGAAATACCTCAATATCATGAACCCACAGCCTCCTAAATTATACTCTTTCATTAAACTACACAAACCGGATCACCCAATAAGACCTGTAGTAGTTTCTTTTTATACAGCTCCGTCATATAAAATTTCAAAAAAACTATTAGAGATTATTTTAGAACACACTAAATTTTCACCTAAATTTACCATAAAAAATACAATAGAACTAGTTAATAAAATACAACATTTTCAAGTACCTAACAACTCCAGATTAATTACATTTGACGTAAAAAATCGTTTTCCTAGTATCCCTCCTACAGAAACTTTTATTCTAGTAAGAAACCTTTTAGACCAAAATAGTACAAATCCAATAATTACATCTGAAATTTTACATCTTCTTGAAGTTTGCATAAACCAGGACTACTTTGAATTTAATAATAAAATATATACAAATAACAGTGCAGGACTTATAATGAGTAATCCTCTAAGCCCATTACTATCAGATATTTTTATGGATCATCTAGAGACAAAGATTTCAAAACATCCCGTATTCAAACAGTTTTTATATTGGTGGAGATACGTAGACGACGTACTGGTATGTTTCACAGGAACTGACAGGCAACTCGACCAATTTTTATCTATATTAATTCACTTCATAGTCATATTGAATTTACAATAGAAACAGAACAAAATCAATCTATAAATTTTTTAGATTTAAAAATTAGCAGACTTCAAAACAAACATGACTTCTCCATATTTCATAAACCTACCCATACTGACACGACTATACACAATTCATCATCCCATCCAACACAACATAAACTGGCAGCTTATCATAGTATGTTACATAGATTAACAGAAATTCCTATGTCAAAATACAACTTTGAGACAGAATTAAATATAATTAAGCAAATAGCAGTAAACAACGGATACAACGAACAAACAATTAATAAAATGTTAAATCAAAAACTACACAAGAAAGCCCTAAAATTAGTATTTCCACCACCAGAGAAAAAGCCCAGTACCTTCTGCTCGATTACATATACAGGCAAAATAACAACAAAAATTGCCAAACACATAAAAAAGAAAGGAATAACACCAGCTTTCCGAACAAAAAACAACCTAGGCAAATATATTAAAAATAACAAGAGCCAAAATAAAAAACACTTAAATAGTGGTGTGTACAAACTTCAATGTGGCGACTGCCCAAAAACTTACATCGGTCAAACTGGTAGAAACTTTGATAAACGAATAGCAGAACATAAAGGGCTTTCAAGAATAGAAAAACAGATTCGACATACGCACTTCACCTTCTAGATCATAATCATTCTTTTAATGACAAATTTAAAATTCTTCACATTCAAAATAAAGGCCTTAAGCTATCTTTGTTAGAATCTATGGAAATCAACAAATTAAAAAACACAGATATAATTCTGAATGACCAACTTGAGACAAACAGTTCTCTTCCTCCTCAACCTATTTCATTAGAGACTATAAATTTGTAAACCCAAGCCAAAAATAGATCACTTGAGAAAGGCAATCAGCCGAAACCGCTGTAGTGATAAGATTTAAAATAAATTTTGTGGAAGTTTGAAAACAAAGTTTTCAGGGTTTTATTGTTAAATACAGGAGCATTGATATTTTATATCTTGCAAGTTTGAAAAACTTGACTCTGAGTTATCTCCTTGACTAATAGCCCTCTCGAAGGGAAATATATTTGTGTTGCCATAATACATTCTAACTGCAGCTGTTGCGCTATTATATATATTCCAAAAAATAGTTGTGTACCTATAATCAATACTGCACTCTGTAAGAGCTCTTAACATGGAGCTATGCTGGACAAACGAGTCAAACGCTTTCTCAAAGTCTACAAATATTAATATCAATGGCTTGTTGTATTCTATAACTTTCTCTATCAAGGATTTTATTACTTGTAGGTGGTCATTTGTTCCAAAGCCACTCCTAAATCCGGCCTGCTCTAGTGGTTGATGAAAATCTAGCTTAGGTCCCAGTCTGTTAGTAATTATTCTCATAAAGAGTTTATATAAATGAGATAATAAGTTGATAGGTCTGTAGTTGCCAATTTCTGTTACATCTCCTTTTTTGCTTGTTGTATTCTGTAACTTTCTCTATTAAGGATTTTATTACTTGTATGTGGTCATTCATTCCAAAGAAAGCCACTCCTAAATCCGGCCTGCTCTCATGGTTGGTGACAATCCAGCTTAGGTTCCAGTCTGCTATTAATTATTCTCATGAAGAGCTTATATAAATGAGATAACAAGCTGATAGGTCTGTAGTTTTAACTTTCTGTTACATCTCCTTTTTGTGCAATATTATCATAATGGCACTATTTTAAGAGTCTTAAAAACTGAAAAAACCTCATCAATTTTTATTACACCACTTTCGCGTTAAAATAAACAAAATAAATTGATGTGATGGCGATAAAATATAAAAATTATTGCCGACAAGTGGAAAGATGTTAGATTTAAAAAGGTTTTATAGCTAAAGCTTTCGACGAATATCAATAAGAGATTTTGTAACTTCAAGGTTCAAAGCGGTATACAAACAGAATAATTATCAAATGGCTGTGACATTCATCTTCTCCAGGTGATTTGCTGTTCTTCATACCTTTCAATGCTGATTTGATTTCCTCTTCAGCTATATCTGGAAGTTCCTCTGATCCTTGATTTTGTGTGGCTGGGATTTCCACCTCTGGAATGTGAGCATCTCTGCGATATAATTTTTTATAGTACTCTTCGATAATTTTCATAATTTCTTGATGTTCATATACAGCATGTCTAATCGTTATGCTCAGCAAAATGGCAAAAAGTTTGATTTGTCTCTGAATGATTTTAAAACATTATTGGTAATTGGTATGCTAGGTAATTATCATGGGCTTCAACCACTTGCCAAGTTTACGTTTGTATTGGTCGACGACGGATCCAAATTTCCATCGGAGAAATGACTAATAAAAATAAAAGAAGAATGATTGAAATATTTAAAGTCAGTCATAAATTAATTATGACAAATGTCACTAATGTTTTTTTTGTTGTTTTACCAAAATTGTGCTCTAAAAGTGTATAACTGTAATTTAAATATTATTAATGGTATTCCACTATTTTAAAACAAATCGCTTCAGTATTAAATACTTGAAAACTAACGTTTTAAAATGGAAATAGCTTCCCCCAGATCGAGTGTTTCATCCGACCAAAATGCATCCAAAACAAAATCCTTACTGGGCTCTAGTTTTACTAAAAGAGTTTCTATCGCGGATGAAAAAAGCACTATTGTACATCTAGTATATAATAAATCACTGCAAGATATGGTAGATCCAAAAGTTTTATGTACTTCAGATCTAACTGTAGGAGAAAATTCAAAAGATACCATACATACTGAATTCACTCTAAACAACACCAGCGATTATAAAACTGTCTTTGTAAAATACTTACCAGAAATTCAAAGTTTAGAATTAGATTCTAAACTTGATAGTTTAGAGACAGAAAGCATACGAAGTGATCAAATCGAAATGCATGTTGTTTTAAAAGAAATTCTGCAAGGCATAGTGTCCGCTGTCTCAGGTAAACTACTATTCCGTTGACTTTCAAAACGAAATTTTTAAATAGACGTGTTCTGTGGAACTAGAAACCTCAAATTATTATAGTAATGACAACTTTAGCATCGTTCTAATTAACATTCGTTCTGTAAGATCTAAAACACATGAACTACTTTTGTTTCTAGAGGAATTAGGATTTCCCCCGATAGTTCTTCTTCGCCAATTCTAGATAAATAGGCTTCAACATCATCATTCCTTCTTTTTCTCGGTCTTCCTACTGATCTTCTACCATCTGGTCTTTCAAAAAACACTGTACTTAAAAACACTCTGATCGTACATCGTGCCTTGCCCATCTTATTCGGTTTTCCTTGATATGTCCAACTATGTTTTCAGTTCCATACAGAGTTAACAATTCAGCATTGCAACGTCTTCTCCAATCCCCTGTGAATTCATCTCTTTGAGGGCCAAATATTATTCTGAGAACCTTTCTTTCAAATACTAGAAGCTTATTGATTTCCAGCTGGTTGAAAGTCCATGTTTCACTGCCATATGTAATAATTGGGCTAATAATCGACTTGTACAGTGTTAATTTAGATTTTCTTTTTAGCAGTTTCGATCTTAATAATGTTGAAACGCAGCTATCCTTGCTGAGACCTCTTTTTCTATGTGTTTGTTAGCTGTGATCTAACTCTCTCTCTCTCTCACGTCTCTTGTAGAATGTGTGACTGCATCTATATCATCAGCAAATTCCAGCAACAATTTTGATCCTTGATCAGCAAATCCTCCTGTCAGCTCAGACGTTATTTTACTTCTTGCATATTCTAAAGCAAAATTGAACAGCAACGGTGACAAGGGGTTCTCTTGCCTAAGTCCTGAATTTATACCAAATAGCATCGATGTTCTGCTTCCTATCTTTACTTGCGCATGAGTTCGATCACGCACATTTGCACCAATTCAACGAATTTTCTTGGTATTCCCATTTCTAACATTGCTATCCAAAATTTGCTTCTTTTTATGGAATAATATGCTTGCTGGAAATCTATGAAAATTTGGTGCACATCGTGGTTGAATTCCCAGTTTTTTTCTAATATTTGTTGCATGGTAAATATCTGATCTATAGTTGACCTTCCAGCACGAAAGCCACATTGATAGTCGCCTAGAATATCTTCCGAATATGGTGTGAGTCTCTTTAGCAAGATAATTGATAGTACTTTATGTAATGTACTAATAAGCGATATGCCTCTATAGTTTCAGAAGTGTTCATTGTTTCCTTTCTTATATATGGGAATTATAACGCTTCCATTCCATTATCTAGGCATTTTCTGTTGTTGCCATACTCTCAGAATGATGTCATACAATTTTTGGTGCAAAAGGTTTCCTCCTTTTTTTAACAACTCTCCATTTATGCCATCATTTCCTGGTGCTTTATGGTCTTTTAAAGACGCGATCGCATTCTTTACTTCCTCAAGTGTTGGTGCTGGTATTTCGATATCTGCAGAATGAAACGTAATATCTGCTTCCTCCGTCTCACTTTCAATATTTAGTAAATTCCGAAAGTATTCCTTCCATCGTTCGACGATTTTCGTTTCTATCATTATAAGTTCACTTGCTTCATTTCTCATAGGCTGTGTTACTCTAACACTTGCACCTTTTCTGACTGACTTCACTTCACTAAAGAATTTCCTTATTTGATTCCTCTCGCCACTTCTGTCCATTTCCCGGATTTGTTGTTCTAGGTAGCTCCTCTTTTTAGTTCTTAATAGTCGCCTTGTTTGTACTCTTGTTCTGTTAAAATCTGCTTTGTTCTCATATGTGGGGTCTTGTAGCATTTTCAATATTTTTTTTCGTTTTTATTTCCAGAATTTCCTCGCATGCTTTATCAAACCATTTCCGTTTTGGGCGAGTCTTCTTAGTAGCGAGTAGAGAGTACGTAGCATTTCGTGGCGCGCCATCGGAGGATAACTGCTTTTATTGTAAAAATAATGTATTCATGATCAACTGCGTATTTTAAGGAAAAATGGTAACTGCTGAACCCCCTCCACGACCGAAATCGATGATAATGCCTTGCTTTGAATTTACGTGTGAATTTAAAAGAAAAGAACGGCAGATCACTTGTAGTCCTTTCAAAGATCTGGAAGTATTTACGGAAGAGTTCGTAGATTGCATTATCAACGAGGCCACAGGTAAGTATGCTTTGGTGTATACTTATAATAATTCTTCTTGATAAACTTGTCAAATCCATATGTATGTATAGCGTTAACATGACTTTTTGGTCTGGATGGATAATTTCCAATCTTTTTCTGTTCTTAGCTGTCAGCTTCCAATTTCTGATTCCCATCTCTCTGACATTTTCTATCACTACGGCTCTCAATTTCTTTCTTGGTGCTCTTCTCTTTGTTTTTTGCTCTCACGTACTCTTCAACCAATATTCTTGACTTGTCTATTTCCTTGCATTCTTTCTAGATCTCCGAGTCATTCTAGTCTACAGTTTTTCACTACTTTTGATATTGTAGGATTAGCATACAATTGGCAGTACATGGTTTCTACATTAGTTCGTCTTCTCCATTCTCAATCTACTAATTTTCCACCAAACATTCTGCAAAGTATCTTTCTTTCTCATGCTTTAATCTGTTCTGTATGGATTTGTTCATAGTCCACGTCTCGGCAGCGTATAGCACTGTGGCTCTAATTATAGTTTTGTACACTCTTATTTTTGTATTAAGAGATATATCTTTGGCCTTGAGTATTTTATTTATGGCCCCAGCACATTTGTTGCTCTTGGTGAGTCTCAGGTTGATTTCAACTTCTTCCTTACATGTCTGATCAATAAGGGTACCTAAGTACATATATTCATTTTTCTTCTTCTTAACGTGCCCTATCAAGTCCCCTTGACGTTGGCGATTAACATGACGAAACTGTCTCTGTCTCGAGCTATTCTAAAGAGTTGCTCAGCTCTCTTTATTCCTGTCCACACTCCTGATATTCTTCAACCAAGAGGCCTGCTTTCTACCAATTCCTCTGCGTCCTTCGATTTTACCCATCATAATAAGTTGAAGAATATTATATCGGTCTCCCCTTACTACGTGTCCAAAATAGGCCATCTTTCTACATTTGATGTTATCAAGCAGCTCGCGAGCAGCATTTGCTCTCTCAAGGACTGCCACATTTGTCAGCATAGCGTCCATGGAATTTTTAGTATACGTCTGTGCAGCCACATTTCAAAGGCCTCCAGACGATTAATGGTGGATATTTTTAATGTCCATGCTTCGACACCGTATAAGAGGACTGACCAAATGTAGCATTTAACCATGCTCGATCATTTCTTAAGAATGAATGTCGTGCGGGCTATCTCGATTCTACATTTATCTCTTGATCTGGATCTAGTTCGTATGCAGTATACTGAATGATGACCTAAACCGAAGCTAAACACCATGTGTTTTGTTTTTGAACAGTTTATGTTTAGGCCAAACTCTCTTCCCACTGTATCAATGGCATTTAAAAGGCATTGTAATCCATTCATGTCATCACTTAAAATAACTGTATCGTCTGCATATCTGATTGTATTTATCAGAATTCCATTAACTTTCACGCCCCATTCCAAATTATGCAGCGCTTCTTTAAATATTCTATCTGAATATAAATTAAATAACAGTGGGGATAGTATACAACCCTGTCTGACACCTCTTTGTATTTTACATATTTCTGTTGATTTCCCGTTTATGCAAGCTGTCGCTGTTTGACGCCAGTATAACTTTTCTATGAATCGTATGTCTTGACTATCAACTCCTTTATCTTTTAATATTTTAATTAATTTGTGATGCTGTACTCGATCAAAGGCCTTTTCATAGTCAATAAATACAGCAAAGACGTCTTTCCTTTGATCTCGACATTTCTGCAGTAATACATTTAGTGCAAAGAGGGCGTCCCGAGTTCCCAGTCCATTTCTGAAGCCAAATTGTGTTTCATCCTGGTCTTCTTCACATTTATCTCTGATTCTACTGTGGATGATGCGTAGAAATATTTTCAAAGTGTGGCTCATAAGGCTTATCATTCTATAATCGCTACAGTTTTTCGGGCGTTTTTTTTGGTAGTGTTATGAATTCCGACTTTAACCAATCTTCAGGGATATCACCAGTCGAATAAACATCATTGAAAAGTTTGACCAGTATTCCAATGTTCTCCTCATTTATAAGCTTTAACATCTCTGTCGGTATGTTATCAGGGCCAACGGCTTTCTTGTTCTTTGCTAACTTTATAGCATGCAGTATTTCTGATTTTAGTATTTCTGGTCCTTCACCTTCAACTAAAGTCTCCAGTTCTTCGGGTCTATCATCATTATACAGTTCACTTATATAATTACACCAGGTTGTTAGAATTTCATGTTCGTCTATTATCATTTTTCCCGACGAATCGGTTATAGTATGTGGAGTTTTCTTATGATAAAGACCAGCTACTTCTCTAACTTTCTTAAACATATTAAACGTATCATGTTTTTCATTCAACTTTTCTAATTCCTTGCATTTATCCTCCATCCATTTTTCTTTGGCCACCTTTATCTTTTGTTTAATTAGTTTCTGTTTTTCCTTATATTCTGTTTTGTTACCCTTCAGTTTCCTTCTCTGCTCCATTAATTCCAGGATTTCATCAGTCATCCATTGTTGTTTTTTGTGCCTGTGTAACGTTGTTGAATATTTTTCTATTACTTTCAAGGTAAGATCTTTAAATGTGTTCCATATTTCTGTGTTGTTTTCATTTATTGATTTCTTTAGCTCATTGTTTAAGTCATTTTCTATTAACGTTTTGTTGGATATTGAGATATTTAATTTTGGTGTTTTTATATTGATTGATATTTTTTATATAGAAGGTGAATATATACTCTCGATTTGCATGATTTACTTTGGTGTTTATTCCTTTTTTTCTCGAGATTTCCGTGTACTTGGATTTATTAATATTAACTTTCAGTCCCATTTTAGAGCTTTCCCGAAATAGCCTTTTTGCTATACTTGCCAGATCTTTTCCATTTCTTGCAATGAGAACCACATCATCAGCGTACGCTTGTACAAAAGAGTGCCGGACCTATTTATCCCACTAACCTATCTACACTATACCACACTAAAAAATGCCATTTTTTAAGCTGAAGTAGAAAAACATTTAACCCAATATACAAGTAATAGTGGTAAAAAGCATATGAGATTAGAAGTGGATGATGAATTTCATCCATCTATAATGAAGACCGCTTTCTCTTGGCCCACCATCAAACAATTCAACATAGCTCTAGGTCTTCAAAAAATAACTGAATTCGTCATGGCTTGCGGCGCTAAAGAACGATGGTTATTTGGAGTATACTATTTGGGAACTATTAGAGAAGCAGTATCAGCTTTTTATGAATACGAGGTAGGTGCTTGTTTTATTATTGATGTCTGAATGCTGTTTATTCATTGCTATAGTTCATAGACAAGTAAATGATCAGATAGAAGTTATCATTGATAATTCTACTAATAATATTTACACTCTACAGGGTGTCTCAAATTAGTATGTTTTGCAGGGTATACCGAAAACTAGAGGAGATAGAAAAATTGTAATTGAGATTGAGAAAGTAACGATTGCCCAATAAAATCATCAATGGTTATCCGCATTAGCGAGATACAGGGCGTTTATTGAAAAATGTTGAAAACGAAAAGGTTATATATATTATGGAAGAGTTCAGTGGCTTAAAAGAAATTTTTTAAGGAGACTCACTAAGGAAATAGGGAAAAAGGGGTAGTGACGCGCAATATAAGTTGCTGTTTCCAGTTAGCATTCTCTAGCCTCTCCTACTCAATTCCTACCCTTACCTCCACGAAGTGCGGCGTGGGCTGCACGGGTGAACCCTGGAAAACCTGAGCAACTTTGCTGGAGATTGGGTAACTAACCCCAATGGAAGGCAGGGTCAGAGCTGACGAGGAATGGAGAAATGGTCCTCCGAAAATGGGGTTGGTGAGCAAGGTGAGCAGCCTACCTACTGTCCAAAAAAGTCAATGCCCATAGAACCGAACAGAAGCTTCGGAATTGGACAGATACACAAGTAACGGACCACGCAAGAAAAACGCAAAGACCACACAAAGAGACCAAATAATCTCAAATCATAAAATTGATATATGTGCCCTAAACGAAACAAAAAAGAAAAGGAAAGGAAGTGCCAATAGAAACAAATTTATATTCCTGTATAGCGGAGTAGATAAAAGCAAACGAGCTCAGGCAGGAGTAGGCCTTTTAATGCACAATAAATATAGTAACAATATTTAAGAAATAAGATACATCAACGAACACATGATGCTGGTTTGCCTTAAACTTCACCAGACGATACTTAATATTATCCCCGTATATGCACCGGATAATAACAAAAACAAGCAAGACAAAGATGCTTTTTACGGACAGCTCCAAGATCTACTGGACACCACAAAAGCTAAATAGCCATAACCTAGAGACTAAAAAGAATATAGAAGAAACCTGGAAATTAATTAAAAATATAATCCTACAACCAGAGTTATAATGCCAACAGGAGAAACAGAATGCATAGAACTAAAAGGAGGAATCTGTCAAGGAGACTCGCTCAGCCCATTGTTATTCAATATGGTGATGAATCAAATAATTCACGAAATAAGAAAACGACACGGATGGGAGCTCATAAAATCACGATACTATGCTATGCCGATGATGCTGTACTAATTGCTGATAACGAAGATGACCTACAAAGGCAGCTCTACACCTTCAATATCACAGCAAACACAGTAAAGAGCTGCGTAGATGCAAACTAGAAATAGACGGCAAAATTGTAGAACAAGTAACGAAATTCAATTTTATAGAACTAGAGATCACTAGTGATAGGGATATAAAAATAGAGACCACAAGGCAAGCATCAAAAGCGGGAAGAATAAGAGGTCGCCTCCGAGAAACCATATGGAGAAACAAATATCTGACTACGGAAAGCAAAATGAAAGTATACAAGACAACAGTAAGACCAATCCTAACATATGCAGCGGAGACAAGGACCGATACAAGAAAGACGAAACAACAAATCAAGAATATCGAAATGAAAGTATTAAGATCAATAGCGGGCATATCATTAAGAGATAGACAAACCAGCAGAAGTATAAGCAACATAATGCAAAATTCAAAATATTAACAGGTGGATAAAAACAAGAAAAAAAACTGGAACGAACATGTAAACCGAATGGGACCAGATAGAAACAACAAACCGTCTAGCAGAAGACCCGTTGAAAGGCCACCAAAAAGGTGGAAAGATAATGTACAGTCAACAACTACACTACTACTGAAACAGAATAAGAGGCAGACAAACAGGAGTAATCCTAGGCGCTCGAAGAAGAAGAGACTAAGGAAATATAATATCAACTTATGTTTTTTTATATGGGACACCCTATATATTTTGACATTTTTCGTTTACATTACGATTTGGTATTATTCATTTGGTAACCATGTAGGTATACTGTTTCATGAATAAAGTTATTTCAGTCTCAGACGGTTTAAGTACATATTATAAACTATGGAAAAGCCAAAATAATGACAAATCTCATCACCAGTGAGCTTGAGAAATCCATGGGTTAATTGATTATAATGATACATTGTCAGGCAAGACGAAACTGTGTGACCAAAACTGTTCATGGTTGTTGTTGTAATCTCAGATAACTTCAAATAAGTGTATACTTATTGAACTTCCTTGTCTTATGCTATTATTTATTAAACTAAAATTCAATTTTAACTTATATATGCCGTTCTTTACGTATTCACGACAATATTCCTTTTAGGTCATATGTGCTTTACCATCGCCAGTGTATCCAATAGCACAAGCAACGGCGAGTATTTATTTTGTGATAGAAGTATCACACATTATACCACCTACCTGTTCAGTAACGGTAAGATACTTTTTCCTCTATTGTCTTATATTTTTATTTATTGCATCATTCATTAAGTATATAAGTTGGAAATATACTATTGTTATCTATTTTTTCCAGGTGACTTTTCAATTCGAAACGAACAAAAGTGTGTATAATGCCGAGGTAACCGGACTCAATGAGACTGCCTTGCTTCATATTCTAAATTCTAAAATTAAAATTTATAGTTCTTTGGAATATTAAAACATAAGATTTGAAACAGTTGTTATACTAAGGGCAAAGAAGCATCTACTTTACAAGTTGTGCTACTAGAATTGGCAACATTGCAATGGCGGGTTAAGGTAGGTCGAATGGACAGCCGGAGTGTGACGTCACGGCGGTCATATTATTACTTTCCAAACAAAAGTTGAAACGCCCAATCTCATCTATCTATCTAATTAGTCTTTTTCGGTCCATCTTTGGACATAGTCCCCAGTCCTTTTCCATTCTTCTCTGTCTGTCGCTACAGTCATCCACCTAGAGCCCACGTGCTTCTTGATATCATCTGCCCATCTCATTTGGGGCCTTCCTCTGCTTCGTCTATCACCACGGTCTCCAACTTATAAGAATTTTATTCCATCGTTCTTCTTTCTGTCTTATATTGTGTCCGGCAAATCTCCATTTCAATTTTGCAACTTCTTGTCTAACATCCCTCACTTTTGTTTTCTCTCTTATCTACTCTTTTTAGATCTACTAATTTTTATAACTTTTTCTTCCCATTCTAATCTTTTAAAAATATCTTCCAGTGCCCGATTGAAAAGTTTCGGCGATATTGTGTCACCCTGTCTCACGCCTCTATTTATATGTATTGATTTTGGTTTTCTTCAATATTCATTAAATTGTTGGACTGGCCTTCCTTATATATATGATATTAATATATATATAATATATAAATATATATAAATATATATAACATATATATATATAGTAATAAAAAGAAATAAACCGGTGGTTGAATTCGTACTAATACGTGACTCATATGAAATCTCAATGAGAAATTGTTACAATTGTTGCATAGCTGCCTCGCCCCCCCAGATGAATAACCATTTCCAGTGTCTCGCGCTCCCGGAAAAGCTATGCACCTTATACCCGCCTTTAAAAATTTAGCAAGAGTGGTCGGAGGGCATACAAAAGTCAAACTAAAAAAACCTAATTGAAGAGGGACTAAAAATCTGAAAATTAAAAACACATGGGGTGAAAAACCGTCTAGCAAACTACAATCGTACTTCAAAAATTGTAAAAAAATGAGATACATATTATTCAGACCACCCCTAAAAGTTAGGCCACACACGTCATGCAATGAAAATAAAAATAGGATGTGGTATGTTTTTAGCCAAAGACGGTATAATATATAGGACGCGAGAACGCATGCCCCCTAGTTCTCTGCTAATTAGAAGCGAGTGACCGAAAGAGTCTCGCGGCAGAGGATGGATGGTATGTTTATTACACCGGGCGTGGCTCATTTATAATGTTAATGACAATAATTATTTTTTTAATTAAAATTAAATATTTATGATTTCGTTTTGTCCAAGTCTATAAGAGAAATAATTATTTTGATAAAATAGTATGGCATTTTACTAAAATAGTAATGTAAATAACTATCAACAATTTAAAATAAAATTTGCTTGTCACACAAAATGGAGTACGTCCATATGTTTTCAAACACAAATCAACTTCGTGATGCTTCGTAAGAAATCATGAACTTCGTGCATGCTTCGAATCAAAACAATAAACAATAACAAAGGTACTCAAAAAATGTATTTGAGGACACTTTTAAAAGCGTTTCACCGCGGATCTATTATATTATACGCGAGCATGGTTTTATCATTATTAATGCAGGATGTTTGACAATTTTAATTTGTCAATCTTTATTTTAGATTTAAATTATAAACAATGAATTTTACTAAATACTTACTGACTACTGAACATTATTACTTTGTGAGACAATTAAATAATATTGTTTTACAGATTCGATCAATAGAATGAAATGTACCAGTTGATCAAAAGCGCATAACGGCGAGCTGCGCGCGCGAGCAGATCCTTCCACTACGGATCTTTATTAACGTAAGATAGGTATTTTATTCACTGAAATTTATTCCATGTATGTTATACAACTATTCATGATTCCAATATACTGGTTACTTTGATCTTTTTCCTAATATTAATATTTGATTATTTCTAAAATAAACCTATAACAAATATTTTAAAAAACATTAAGTAAACATTTTTTTATTGCTTTTTTCTCTTCAACTGAGTACATTTTTTTATTCAACTTATTTTTTTTAGACATTAAATCATAAAATTTGGCCATTTAAAATCATAGATAAATATAATATAATTGATTTAAATATTTGTCAAATATCAGAAACAATTAATATGACAATAACGCAACACGTAATACATCTCACTCTCTCCTCACAGAAAAAATGTATTTATCATTTTAGCAAAATTTGGAATACGTTTTAAGTCGTAGAATACTTTAACCAGTTGTTTTCGATATCATATTTGATGTCCTCTACAAATAGTTTCCCATGACTTTTGGTGTAATAATAATTAGGGAAGCAGGAATTCAACAATTTAGAATTTACCATTGAGTTTCCTATGGACACGTTTGCCCGATTCACCACCCTGTAGTTATTTATATAATATATATAGTATATATATGTTATAATATGATAGATATATATATAGTATACATAATATATGTATGTATATATAGATATATATCGGTATGGAATCTATGATTATATATAATATTGTGTACATATATTATATTATTATAGTCAAATATATAGATATATAAATATGTATATATAACTTATATATATATTATATATATATATATATATATAGTCATATATATTTATATATATTGGTTATTAGTTCTGTAATACCTGGTGGTCAATTCTGGCTGGTATCCGCAATCTAGTGAACGCTATATATAGAGGAATATGGTATTTATTTGCTCGCTCTATAAGTATTTTCATACTTAGTACATGGTCACTTGTGCTGAATCTCTTTCTAAAACCAGCTTGTTCTTTTTACTGGTATCCGTCGAAATTTGTCATCAATTTAGTGGTTAAAATTTTTGTTAGGAGTTTATACATTACATTGAGGAGTGTTATAGGACGGTAGTTCTATAGGGTTTTAGGACTGGGACGTTCGCAGTGATCATTTTTTATTTTTGTGCATGTTTTTCGTTTCTAATTGTCTTGTAATTATGGAGTAACAATAGATTAATAAATATAAAGACAAGCATTAACAAACTATTGTTTATTTATAATTCAATTTACACTTTTTTCTTAAAATTATATATCTAAACCACTCATCGTATAAAAAAGAAATATACAGGATGGCCCATTCAACATTATTAAAAAATGTCATACAACAACAAGTTTTAGGTCCAATGTAAAGATAATTCATAATGTCGTGGACCTGACGTAATCATTTAATGACGTCGATCTACGAACGAACCAATAATATCAGGCATTGCTAAAAACATGCAGCTCTGTTCAATGCGTTATCGTAGCGAGACAGAGACGAACTAGTTTTTGCTTTAGTGAAATAGCTTTAATATTTTTTTTGTGAACAATCATTTTTAATATTCTATCACTTTTTGGATCATTCTAAATAAGAAGTGTTGATTGTAATTTTTCTCTAAAGTTGATCGTTTTCAACTTATAAACAATTTAAAACTGAAAAACAACGAAAAATGATGATTGAAGGCACAAAAACAAACTTTTTAATAGATTAGGACCACTTTTTGTATATGCGACCTCTTGAACATTATTCTCAGAGATATTTTATAAAAGTGATTATATATAATATAATATATATATATATATATATATTATATATATATTATAATCTCATGGAATATTTTTCCCAAACAATTAGAGGTTTTCGTCTCGTATAAACATATTTTGCTGAATTTAAAACCAAAATACTATTATTTTTCTGTAATACATTGATTTGTTATTTATTTATTTGTCCTCTAGATTTTTTTCAGATCTTAAAAGGTTTATTTATAAGCCAAATTAGTGCAATGTAAATATTTTACATTTTTTACACAGCAATTCTTATCGGCAGTGAAGACTTCTTCTGCTTCAAGTTCCGCTCCTATCGGAGATGGAGATCATTCTGGCAATTATAATTTTGTTGGTTACGTGCCTGAATAGTTCAATTGAACTGCATTCAAACCATTCACGGAGATTGCGTAGCCACGAGATTTTACGTCTTCCTACGCTTCTTCTGCCTTTGATTTTACCCTTGTGAAGACGGAAAGTCGTAAATTTTTATTACATCTTTCAATGTGAGATAAAATAAAAATGCGATGACTAACTGGAAGGTTTAAGATTAGAGAAACATAATATGTCATGTTTATTGGAAATACTTGACATCATTAGCAAGTTCAAATCCTACCCTGTCGCCTAATTTCCTATGAAATTAAAATGGTAAATGTTTTTATGGTCCATTTATTTTGTCGGACATGCGTATTTACGAGGTCCACGTGGTTTTGAAACATCATTAACAACAAATTCTTGAAGGATTTTTTCATTGAAACAAAAAAATCTATACGGAAATTTAGCAAATTTTTTGTTAGGTTATTGTATGAAATTTTACTTGAACAATTATAGCCATCTTGTATATTTGAAACAGTGACATTTGAAGATTTTATACGAACAATTAATAAATACATATGTATTGCTTTGTTTTTTGTTATCAGTTATAGAATACGCGTATCTACAATTTTGTGGATCTCTGTTCAGTCTTGACCTCAGTGGTCATCGTGATATCGCGTATACATAAAGAAGACAGAGGAAGAAACCTAGAAGGTTCTTCAAACTTTCATCAAAATAAACTAATTCGACAAGGTACGGTAAGCATGTTTCATGTTAATTTGCAGTGTATTTCAAATAAAGTTGATATGATCAATGCTTTTCTTGCGAATCAAAATTTATATGACGTCAGAACTTTTTCGTAGCACTGGCAAAGTGAAGAAAAATTTAAAATTAATTAGCATCTCCGGCTTTTCATTAGCTAATTTCTTTTGTAGGATAAAAAAGAAACAAGGCGGAGTTGCAATTTATGTAAAAGCAAATATTATGTAGTCTTCTCTTAATCTAAATAAATATATGTAGAGCAAAGTTGAGTTTTGTGCAATTTATGTACCTTCAATAAAAACCTATATTTTAACTGTATAACAGATCGGGTAAGGGTAGCTTTGACTTGTTTTTGGTGAATTTTGAGAATGTTATAAAGTCATTGCTTAGTAAAGCAATGACTTTATGACATTCTCAAACTCTGAAATGTGTTCACAAGGAACAGATTTTGTTACAATACTACAAGATTTTATGAATATAGTGGTTAAGTTAGGATATACATGGCGATGGTTTTTCCACCACTGTAATGGACAGTTCCAATCTCCGTTCGAAATTTTTTGTGGGTAATATAGCATTAGACAATACATGTCGACTTCTTTTATATCTGTCGATACAGATGTTTGTTTAGATGAGTCATGTCCAATTAATTCATCAAAAATACACCATGGACTTGGTCATCTTTATTAGTTTATTTTTCTTGTACTGGTTGATTTTTCAATAGTACAATCTTCTTTTTCTTTTTTTTTTATCAGAAGTAAACCAGCTTTTTCTTAACTCTTTCTTTTTGTTTTTTAGAACCTTCAAAAAAATGCACATTTGTAGAAGATGCAGCTTTTATGGTCCAATTTCTGAATATTGCAATGATTGAAACTTCTCCTGACGCATTTTCTGTCCGTTTCGACTACTTCTACTACAAGTAATTACATACTGCCCACCGCCACCCAAGCGTCAAAAGGTGGGAATAAAAGAAACAAATATATATAGATTTACTAAACCTATGCAAAGACTCGTTTCATCCGTTTTCCATAGTTGAAGAACGAGCTTTTAAAAAGTTTGCAGGGTGGATTCCTGGATATAAACCGCCAACAAGAAAAACTTTGTCAGGTTCATTACTTCAGGAATGTTATATCAAAACTGAGCAAATTATTAGATCACAAGTTGTTAAAGAAGTAGAAAATATCTGTATTACTACTGACCTCTGGACATCTGGAGTAACTGAGAATTACATCGCATTAACAGGACATTATTTAACTGAAAATTTAGAATTTAAAACGGTTTTATTAGGCTGCTGCCATTTTTCTGGAAACCATAATTCAGAAAACATCGCCTTTGAAATTAGTGAAATTATTAATCAGTGGGGTCTAAAACGAAAAGTAAGTTTTGCAGTAACTGATAATGCCTCAAATATGGTCAAGCCTTTAAAGATGTTTTTGGAATAAAAATATTTAAATTGTTGTGCTCATACGTTAAATTTATTGGTGGAAGACGCACTTAAATGCTGTCGTGTACAAATAGATAAAATAAAAAGTCTTTTTTTCGACATTTCGAAAGTTTCGAACATAACAAAGTTCCCAAAAGACCAATCCAAGACGTGAAAACTAGGTAGAACTTCACCTATTACATGTTAAAAAGAATGACCGAGTTAGAAGAGGCAATCCGTTCCACATTGGTATTAGTTAATACAGACTTAGACTTAGACCAAATCCAAATAATAAAGACTGGATTATTTGTTCTCAACTTTCCCAAATTTTACGGCCTTTTAAAGAAATACCAAGTACAATGAGTGGCCAAAAATACTTGAAGGGTAGTTCAGTGATTGTTATGGTACGCTGCCTGCAAGAATCTTGCAATAAAATTTTAGAAAACGGTAACCTTACATCCATAGTATCCGACGTAGTACAATTAATAATATCGGGTTTAGCAAAAAGATTTAGAGGGATAGAACATAGATAGAGTGGCACATTGTCATTATGTACATTTAAGGATTCACGATTTAAAGTGCAGTGATTTTCTGATAAAAATGAAGCTAAAAAAACAAGAAAGAGTTAAGAAGCTGGTTACTTCTATAATTAAAGAACAAGAAGATTGTACTATTGAAAATCAACCAGTACAAGAAAAAGAAACCGATAAAGATGACTTAAGTCCATGGTGTATTTTTGATCAATTAATTGGACATGACTCATCTAAACATACACCTGTATCGAGAGTACATTACAATGGTGGAAAAACCATCGCCATGTATATCCTAACTTAACCACTATATTCATAAAATATTGTAAATGTGAACACATGTTCAAAATCTGGTTTAATATAAGAAGAACACGGTTAACAAGAAGTAAAGTAGAAAAACTTATGTTTTTAAATGTCAATGTAGACGATTCGCGATTTAATAATAACGTGTAATGTAAATGTAAGTACGATTTACTATTTGTATTGTTTAGTTTATTTTTCAAGTTATAATAAATATATCCTTCATTAGTTTCTTTTACTTCAATCAATATACACGCTAATAGCCATTATGTTTGTTTATGTAGGTACTCTCTTACTTGAAACTACTGTTAAACAATCATAGTTACTTGTTTACGAAAATCGGCTCAGTTGCGTTAACGATAAAAACGTCAGCCACCTCTACCACTGTCCCTACTTTGATTCGGTGCTTTGACGACGCGAGACGAGACGTTGCCAAATAATTTTGTATGAAGTTTTTTATTGTGGCGTCCTAATGCAGTTTATTATTTTTATTGGGAATAAGGCACAATGTGACTTTAAAATAAGCTTATTTTGATGTTTAGATTTTTAATTCGGAAATCGTACTTAAAATACGAAACATTAATAAATTTTATTTATATAAAACGATTTCCGAAGTGGAAATCAAAATGTTATATTACACTTATTGTAAAGTAAAATTGCGGCATATTCCCAATAAAAATCTCACTCCATCTCACGTAAGGTCCATACCGACCATAAACTTTTACTTATACTGTATATGAAGTAATCCAATTGTTTATAAAGTGATCCAATTCTTTATAAAGTGGTTTAAGAGGATGGGAAAATTTAGATTTGAAATTTGATTTAGAGAAACCTTCCACAGAGAATTACAGATGTCATTTCAACCAGATATGTCAATACCAAATGTTAAGTTGCTAGAATTATCCAGAAGTTTTTAATTTATATTTTTCTATATTTTAATTGTTAGAAAATATTAATTTGTATTATCTTTAGTGCCCCTATTTGCAGTAGTATTTGAGTCGTGAATAGCTGTTAAAACTCAAAACAAAGATATCCAAATGACACTGTTTAAAATTAGATAAATAAAAATACCAGAATATCTGATAACACTATACCAATAAAGTTTGTACCGATTTCTTCCCCGGCCAGGCCTCTTTTGCGTACTTCTTCTTTTTGGGTTCCATCGTGTCGGAGACTTGCACCTGTTGAGGTACGAACGGCGTGGGGTTCGTAAAAGACTGGCCCATGTCGACCTCTGGTGCTGGATTCGGTAGCACCATACCCAATCTCGAGTTCAACGCACTGTATATTCCCATAGTACTTGTTCCAGAAGAGTGTGTTTCGGGAGGTAAGTCCGTATACAGATCGGGAGCTGAAGTGTGGTGTTGATGTACTTGTTTAGGTTGTCTGAATTCTGTGGTAGAAATACCAACAGATTCTGCGATCTTAAGTCGTTTGGATGACGTAGGGACGACTGTTGTTTGCACTAGATTGCGGAATCTTCCTATACTCGGATCGATATCTTCTGGATTTATGATTTCGTCGTCTTCGTTGAAAGATACGCTCTGTCGCTTTCGTTTTCGGGACAACCTTTTGTCTGGATCGTCGGAAATTCCCAACATCGATATTCGTCGGTTGTGGGCTGTATTAAATTCTGTTAAGTTCTGAAAAAGATGTCTGTTTGTAGTAACATTCATTATACAGAGTTGGAATAAAGTATGGAACCAAATAATTATCATTGCATCGAAAAAATGAGATTCATGAAACTTTGCATGCTGGTACAATGAAACATAAGGCATCTGATGTTATTAAGCCTGCATTTCTGTGACTCACACTTTCTGTATACAAGCTGAGAAAAGTTACGAGGCGACTACGCACTAGTTCCGATAATGTTAATCTTTGTTTATAAACAGTAAATACACGGTATTATGATTTTGGGTGTAGTTTTTTCTTTTTAAACTAGGTATCTATGCCCCCACTGCAGATAGAAAATATGATGATGAAGTCGAGAAGTTGTATGATCAGATCCAAGACATCTTACAGAAACTTAATAAACACGAAATTTTATATATTATAGGCGACTTCAAAACAAAAATTGGGGAAGGTCGATGAGGTCAGACTGTAGGTACTTATGGTCTAGTAACCTAACGATCGAGGACAGAGATTGTATAAATTTTGTAAAGAAAACGATATGATCATTGCAAACACCTGGTATAAACTACCCAAGCGACGACTATACACTTGGAAAGCCCCATTTGATGATGACAAAAAAGTTACTACATTTCCTGGGGCAGATATTGGATCTGATCATCAACCACTTGCACCAGATATTAAACTACGGTTAAAACAAATTCAGCAACAAAAACCAAAAACCAATGTACTTAACTTTGATGATATAAACATAAAACATAACATTAAAAAAGAATTTAACAATAGAATAAAAAACATCAGAGAACATCTAGAAGATCCAGAAGAACTATGGAGTGAATTTAAAAACCAACTGAAGTTAACGAAATCTCCACAAACAATAATTATAGAAAAAATTTAATCAAGAAAAATAAATGGATGACAGACCACATTTTGAAATTAATGGAACAACATCGACTGATAAAATCTAATGAAACAGAATAACATCTGCATGTGTGCCATATTTAGACAAGAGATAATTAACAATAATAGCATTTTTAGCACTTTGAAGATTAATACTTACATCTAACTCAGTTTCCGTCTCTGGTAAACCCAGTAAACCACCCTCTGACTCTTCATTTGCTTTTTCAATTTCATCTATGATGGGCCTTATTCCCGTCTGTGGTCTTTCCCTAATTATGTAATTTCGAGTAGAGGCTCCAAAATGAAAACTGGAATCAATTGGTAGTTGGGTGGGTTTATATGCTTCAAGGCGTAGATTTCCAATGAAAGTGCCATGTGCTGAAAGCAAATACAACAAAAATTGATAATTCAGTAACAAAAAATTTGTAACATTCACTTTACTGTCATAACGTTTTAGCAGAGGTTCGATTGGACCCTGGTCTGGGACAAAACAACAAAAGGCTAATGTAGTAGTAGTAGTAGTAACATCATTCAATTGTATTAACTAAATAAAATTTGGTTTTTGATTGAACATTGCATGAATATAGTGAAATAAATGGCAAAAATGTCTTTTTCGCATAAGTTGAAAATTTATGAAAAGTACTGGAATTTATTAGTTGTTGAAACTTGGTATTTGCTCATATCTTCAGTCTTCTCATTGTTGCTGTTATAATGTACTATTCTGTCTCTGTGCATTTATTACTTGTACTATGGATGATTGTATAATTTTGTAGTTGATTTTTAAAGAATGTAGGTTAATGTTGTTATCCTGTTTTCTCATTTCTAGTACCTCTCTTTCCTTTGCTCTATATATCTATTCTTTATCTGTTGTTTCATGTGTGATAATTTATCATTTTTATCCTTACTGAACTTTTTTTTTCACTCATAGTACATATTTGCTAAAATTCATGTTGTTTACCAGACCAATATTTATATTTCAAAAAAATTTATAACAAAAAAGCATTTGAGATACTGAAAAAGATATTTTACACAAGTTTTCTTAGAGATTTGTTGATTTTTGCAGTAAACCCTACACATCTATGAACTATCTGTGTACTTCCTTAAATAAATGTGTAAGTAAACAAAAATCCAAATAACTTCTAGCTCATGTACAGTTAATACTTACTACTGCCAAGATCGACTAGAAATGCTCGTTCTAGATGTTTGTGCCAGACGAAAGATGAATGAACCCTGGAACAAGAGGCATGATCAATACAAAAGTCGTTCATCTGAGCATTCCTCCCAAATAAATAACACTTTTTCTCGTCGATCATTAGCTTTTGAATTAACTTATCGCCCTTTAACACATCTAAGTGAAGACCAACTGGGGGTTTGCCAGCCCTAAAATTAAACAATAAGACATAACCTCACACAACAATTAATAAAATAGTAAATAATAATATATACCAGCTGGGAACTTCATAATGGTTAGCCATCAAAAATTATATTAAAATCCACTTTATTCAAAATTTAACAAATTTTAACATTTTTCAAAATATTCAAATGACAACAGCCAATCTGACATATTTTTAGACTCACAGCACACTCCCGCTTAACAGTGCCAGTCCTATGTTAAAGAGTAAAACGACGATTGGCGCATTGTCTAGTGTCAGGGTGCGTAACTATTCGCATTCTCAAACGGCTATAGGTGGCAGCACTTGTTTTGAAAGATGGCGGACAAAATATGGATATCGTTTACGTTATAACAAAGAATATAGACTATATTCTTTGGTTATAAATCAGAATATTTATAAAATTTGATAAAAGACCCCTAGTTGAAGGACAAGCAATTTTAGATTCCATAACTCCCACCATTATTATTAGTTGTGGAATATTATCATGTAATGGGAAAACCGCAGTGATACAAGCATTATGCCTTCATCAGTATTGTGTATTATGTGCCTTATTACTTGTTATTACTCTCCAAGTCTCCAGAGTCCAGAGCAGAAGATTCCGAATTAAATCTGACTTTAAAAAGTGTGATTCTTATACCTAACATGTTCTTTTGGGGTCAATTTGTCCAATAATCTTGATTAAATAAAAATTTTTGTCTGAGATATGGCTACCATAAACAGGACTACTTTACAAATGTAATTAAACCAGATGGTGCTATTCCAATTATAACATTTAATGTGTGGTCCCCGTTGTAGTGAGAATAGGTCATTATACAACACTTGAAAAACTTGCATTTTTGTAAAATTAATTCTGTGCAGTCCAAAGTAATTCTTGTTTTAGGAAATTTCTTATAACCAACAGGTATCCTATTTTGAATATCTTCTTTTCCTGGCCAGGGGATTGCATATTTTAATACTTCAAAAAGAACTTCCACCGTTATCTCAAAATAATTTCTACATGTATTTGCCAAAACACCAAACAGCTTCACAAATTTTTTCCAGCAAATTTAGAATTGGTATTTCAGTGAATGCATCGCGATTTGTTTGTATCAAATCATACCTATGAAGTAACTTTTTTGCCTTCACTTATTAGAGATATGGTCACTTGGATAGCCTTCTGAACATTTCTTGTAATATTTTAAAAAATAAAGATTGTATTCTCCAATTTTTTTTAACCATTTTGGCATTTTTATGTAATGAAAAATAAATATAACCTCCACATAATAAGTAAACCCAAATAGTATACGAAAATTATATAAAACATCGCATAAAATAAGGGTTTTTTGTTATTTTAGGCTTATATTGATTTTTTTGTATTTTAATGTATATATTAAAAATGAGTTTACAATCCTAATTTAGGTATTTTACATGCCTTTTGAATTTACCGCCATGTATATACACTTACTGCAAGGAAAGATCCAAGGACGCAGAAATCCAGGCCGTAGAAGAATGTCCTGGATGAGAAATTTAAGAGAGTGGTTTGGCTGTACCACTAACGAATTATTCAAAACAGCAGTTAATAAAATTAGAATCGCCATAATGATATCCAATCTTTGATAGGAGAGGCACTCAAAGAAGAAGAATATATAGTTACGCACCCTGGCACTAGGCGATGCACCAATCATCGTTTTTTATCTTTAATATGAGACTGGCACTGCTAAGTGGGAATGTGCTGTGGACTGTAATGACATAAAGTGATGTGAACAACGCTCAAGGTTAGTAAAAGGGAGGTTGCATGGTAACTCATGACATTGACAGAATGAAATATGACGTGTGACGTCACCCAGGGGGTCAATTTTACGAATTGTTTGAAAACAAAATAGGAGAAGTGGTTTGGAGAATATATTTTGTTGTTAAATATTGTTAGTGTTTTAGTTTATGTTAATATCTTGAGATATAATATGTCTATAGATATTATTGAGTGATTTTTAGTATACAACTTGGACCCAATACTCTTATACAAGTGTTAAGATGCATTTAACGTGGTTGTGTCTTACTGGATTTTATTTCTGCTTTATTATATAGTAAAGGTAACATTGGGATTAATGCAGGAAAAACATAACTTAATTGAATTTTTTAAAGATTCAAATGACTGGTGTAAATATTTGTAGTGTAGCAATCTGCAAATATAATTAAAAAAATTCCAAAAAGGATGGAAGGGATTTAATGTTTTTTACATTTAAAAAAAAGTAAAAATTCAAAAGCAATGGATGAGCAAGTGTCATAGGAAGGATAAGTGGTCCTGTTTTAATAAAAGAGTTTGTAGTATACACTTTCGCATGGAAGATTATGACGATGCTTTAAAAGCTAAACTATTAAACATACAACCTAAAAAGATGGTAAGTAGGTATAGTCATTTAAATGTTCAGTAAAAATGTGTTAATTCACTGATTTTGATTTTTATAATTTACTGTTAATTATGTACAACTTAAAAGGTATTTATTTAATGGAATAATGTTTTAATATTTTTTATATTCTATTATATAATACAGTAATGTAATCAGATGTTCCTTAAATATATTAAAGTTAAGGGGAAAACTACTAATTCTGATATATTAATATAAATCTTTAGTTGAATCTCTTTTTCAGCATGGTTTACTTGTTTGGAGGAATTTATAATAATCCACTACATGCATTATCCTCAATTCAAAATTGCAATAATATTTTATGATCTCTGTAACTCTGCAGGTGCTTATCTCCCACATTTTTTAAAGATTGAATGAAATAAACGGTTATTAAAAGTGCAAACATATTTTTTTCGATATACATAGATTAATATAGCAATATAAGCAACAATCATTGTTGCTTTTCGAGTTCATTTCAAGGAGTAAAGTGAATGAAATTTGAATGTAACATTCTCAGTGACGTCATTCCCGCCGTTAGATTCTCGACGCTGATTGGTGTAAAGTTACCGGACAACCTGTCTATGTTTAATAACCTTGAACAACGCTCAGGAACGAGAGTAGCAGTGCCACCAAACGGAAGGGTGCCAAATAAAAACATGCGTTGTTATTGGCTATGCATTGTTATGATTCTATGAGGTGAGATTTGACTTTTATTTTTATTGAAAAATGGCAGTACAGTGTTGCCGATCTCACATTTCCCGATAAAAACTTTAAATACAACCACTTTATTTAAATGTGTGATTCTATATTTGCAGCAACAATAAATATTTTTTTATTAATGATAAAATTAAAAATATGCGGAAAACTCCTTAAAAATTCATATAAATTATTCGAAGGAATTAAGGTTCAGAGGAGTATTTTTCACTTGTCAAAATCGATATTTTTGACTTAAGACCTGTTTACTTATCAATACAGAATTATATTTGTGAAATTTCTATTAACTTTGTCTTAGGTTGCTGATATTTCTTTATGATATAATTTATATATATAATATATATATATATATATATATATATATATATATATATATATATATATATATATATATATATATATAGACCCCAACACCACGATATTTTCGCTGTATATTTATTGTAATTCTCACTGTACAACTTGGTTGTACAGTCGTAAATTCAGTCGCCTGGGTATATTACATTTATGGTTGGGAAGGGTAAAAAGTTTAAATAAAACACAATAATAATAATAGAAATTTATTGTAATAATACAACTGTATAAATATAAACAGTTACATATGCGCACTTACAAAAATACATTCATTTTAATATAGCATGTGACATAATATAAGAAATGCTGTAGTTGGTAATAAAAGTCTGTTTATATATTTTTTATTAGTATTATCAATTAATCAATTCTTCATAGAATTATGTTGTTTTGTGTCCATTTTATTGTGTGGTTTAATACTTATATCTGTTTTTTATAATTTTTAAATTCTCCGGTAGACAATTTTATATTTTGGGCCTTACGTAATCATATCTCTGGAGTATGGATTTATTACATTTAGGTAAAATCGCATTATTCCTTGTATACCTAGTTTGATGCATATGATTTATTTTTGGTCATTATAAGATTTCATATATATTCCTAACTTGTAACTTCTCGAGAATTTTTTGAAGCAAATTTCATACGCAAAGGTTTTTCCGCAGTATGCACCCGCATATTGTGTCTTTTTAAATGACCTTTCATTGAAAATTGTTTTTCGCAAATTTCACATGAAAAAGATTTTTCCCCAGTATGCACTCTCATGTGTAACTTTAAATGATTGTTTGTTGAAAATTTTTTAATGCAAATATCGCATTCAAATGGTTTTTCCCCCTTGTGTATTTTCATATGTTCTTTTAAGTTAAACCTGCATGAAAACGATTTTGAACAAATTTCACACGCAAAAGGTCTTTCTCCAGTATGCACCCCCATATGTTTTTTTAAATTACCTCTTATTGAAAATTGTTTATCACAAATTTCACACACAAAAGATTTTTCTCCAGTATGCATTCTCATATGTATCTTTAAATGATAATTTCTTGAAAGTTGTTTATTGCAAATATTACATGCAAACGATTTTTTTCCATTATGTATTGTCATAAGTTCTTCTACATTTGAATTTTCAGGAAAGATTTTAGAGCATATTTCAGAAGTCAAATTGTTTTTTTCTTCAGTGCTCAGACTTATATTAGCAGTTAAATATTGATTCAAGTTACTTTTGTTTCTATTATGATCTTTAAATTCGGTGCTAGCGTCAGCTTCTGTCTCTTCCCAAGGAAAACCTAAAATAATTATGTATTAAACTGGTATTATTATTTAATCAAAAAAATATAAAGGATGGAAGGTTGTGCCAACTGGAATATTAGATTTTAATCATTAATTGTTTGAAGAGTTGCTATAAGATAAAATGCATAAGTAATTAAAGTTGTATTAAATGTATTAATACAAATCATTCATTTTTGATTGTTTCATTATATATCATAATATAGGTACAAATTCGTAGAGATTTTTCAGTTAAACTTTTTTTAAATAAGTATATAATTTGCTCGGTAAATTGTTTGAAATTACTGATGACAAGAGTTTTAGAAACTGAACCTACGCGAGTAGTCAATGCAGTTTGGTTATTCGTTAAGCCTTCGGGAGGGTCCAAGTGTACGTATTTCTTTATGTGGAAACCAAATAGATAGATAATAGGTGTCGTAGCTCAATCTGGGAAAATTGTGACATCAAATTTCAGTAGATCTAGGGAAATTTTTTTGTGTAATACTGTGGAGACTATTAATTCTTTCCGTGTAATACACTATTTAGAAGAAAGATTATATGTCAAATAATTTTGACCAGCATTTTTAGTATATGTATTTCTAAATTGTAATTTCTCAAGAATCTTTTGAATCAAATTTCACAAAAGGTTTTTCATCAGTATGCACACTCATATGTATTTTTAAATGGGAGCTTTGTGAAAACACTTTCGAGCAAATTTCACACACAAAAGGTTTTTCTCCTGTATGCACCTGCATATGTCTTTTTAAATTACCTTTTATTGAAAACTGTTTTTCGCAAATTTCACATGCAAAAGATTTTTTCCCAGTGTGTACTAACATATGTTTTTTTAAGCATGAACTTCCTAGAAACTGTTTGTTACAAATTTCACATAAAAAAGGTTTTTTACCAGTATGTACATTCAAATGTTTTTTAAGATTAGAACTTTGTGTAAATGATTTCTTGCATAGTTTACATGTAAAATTTTTTTCTTTACTGTGCATTCTTTCGTGTATTTTTAACACAGTCTTTGTTATACACTGTTTAGAACAAATTTTACATACAAATTGTTTGTCTCCAGTGTGTATTCTCATGTGTATTTTTAAATGGGAGGTTTGTGAAAACACTTTTGAGCAAATTTCACACACAAACGGTTTTTCTCCAGTATGCACTCTCATGTGTAACTTTAAGTGATTCTTTGTTGAAAATTTTTTAATACAAATATCGCATCCAAACGGTTTTTCCCCGTTGTGTAGCCTCATATGTTCTTTTAAGTTGGACATGCCTGAAAACGATTTGGAACAAATTCCACACACAAAAGGTTTTTCTCCGGTATGCACTCTCATATGTATCTTTAAATGATAATTTCTTGTAAATTGTTTAGTGCAAATATTACATGCATAAGGTTTATTCACCGTAAGAATTCTCACTTGTTTTTTTAAATTTGACTTTCCTGGAAACATTTTGGAGCATATTTCAGAAGTCAAACACTTCTTTTCTCCAGTATGGATTCTCATATGCATTTTTAAATGGTGACTTCGTGAAAACCGTTTTGAGCAAATATCACACACAAACGGTTTTTCTCCAGTATGCAATTTCATATGTATTTTTAAATGATAATTTCTTGAAAGTTGTTTATTACAAATATTACATGCAAACGATTTTTTTCCATTATGTATTCTCATAAATTCTTCTAGATTCGACTTTTCGGGAAACATTTTGGAGCATATTTCAGAAGTCAAACTGTTCTTTTCTTCAGTACTCAGACTTGGACTAGCAATTAAATATTGATTCAAGTTACTGCTGTTTCTAATATGATCTGTAAATTCGTTGCTAGCATGAGCTTCTACCTCTTCCCAAGGAAAACCTAAAATAATTATGTATTAAACCAGTAAGATTATTATTTAATCAAAAGAAACATAAAGGATGGAAGGTTGTATCTACTGGAATATTGGATTGTAATCATTAATTTTTTGAAGAGTTGCTATAAAATAAGGTGCATAAGGAATTAAAGTTAAATGTATTAATACAAATCATTCACTTTTGATTGTTTCATTGCATATAATGATATAAAAGTACAAATTCGTAGAGACTTTTCAGTTACACTTTTTTTTAAATAAGTAAGTATATGATTTACTCGTTAAATTGTATGAAACTACTGATGACAAGAGTTTTAGAAACTAAACCTACGCGAGTAGTCAATGCAGACAACCTAAATTCAAATTAAGCATTAGATTCATATATAGAATTATAAAATATTCCCATATAAAATTCCAGAAAAGCCACCATAGTAATGGGCATCAATCACCATGATTTTTTTCAAATTTTTTGAAGTAGTAGATTCTTCTGAAGGACTTGAAAAATTCCTTACACTTTTTAAAAATTTATTGAGGTATCCAGCGAGTACAAAAGAGTATAACGGAGTATAATGGACAGTGAGAAACTGCTCGCTTTGATGATATTAAAGTTTATGGATTTAAATTACAATTAAACATAAAAAAATGACTATTTAAATCAATATTTCAAAAAGTTTCGATTTAAAAAGCTTAAGAAGGGTCTGGCGTCTTCCGATTAGAGTTAAGATTGGCACCTTTTTGAGACAATCCGGTCCTGCTTCTCTTCTTTTAGCATTTGGGATTCTAACTCGTATCTTCCAACTGAAAAGGGCTCCGAGTTAATATTGACACATTGGTAGATGCAGACATCCATTAGGTTGGATGTGTCTAGCCTATAAGCACGTGAGCAGTTTGGTCATTCGTTAAGCCTTCGGGAGGGTCCCAAGTATAAGTATTTCTTTATGTGAAAACCAGTAAAGGTCAGTCTGGGGAAATTGTGACGTCAAATTTCAGTAGATCTGTGGAGACTATTATTTCATTCCGTGTAATACACTATTTAGAAGAAAGTTTATATGCCAAATAATTCTGGTCAGTATTTCTAGTCTATGTATTTCTAAATTCTAATGTCTTGAGAATCTTTTGCTTCAAATTTCACAAAAGGTTTTTCATCAGTATGTACACTCATATGTGTTTTTAAATGGTAGCTTTGTGAAAACACTTTTGAACAAATTTCACACACAAAAGGTTTTTTTCCTGTATGCACCTGCATGTCTTTTTAAATTACCTTTTATTGAAAACTGTTTTTCGCAAATTTCACATGCAAAAGATTTTTCCCCAGTGTGTACTAACGTATGTTTTTTAAGCATGAACTTCCTAGAAACTGTTTGTTTTAAATGTCACATAAAAAAGGTTTTTTACCAGTATGTACATTCAAATGCTTTTTAAGATTAGAACTTTGTGTAAATGATTTCTTGCATAGTTTACATGTAAAATTTTTTTCTTTACTGTGCATTCTTTCGTGTATTTTTAACACAGTCTTTGTTATACACTGTTTAGAACAAATTTTACATACAAATTGTTTGTCTCCAGTGTGTATTCTCATGTGTATTTTTAAATGGGGTTTTGTGAAAACACTTTTGAGCAAATTTCACACACAAACGGTTTTTCTCCAGTATGCACTCTCATGTGTAACTTTAAGTGATTCTTTGTTGAAAATTTTTTAGTACAAATATCGCATCCAAACGGTTTTTCATCAAATCAGATGCATAAGAGATTAAAGATAAATGTATTAATAAAATCATTCACTTTTGATTGTTTCATTGCATATATATGATATAAATAGGTACAAATTCGTAGAGACTTTTCAGTTACACTTTTTTTTAATTAATTAAGTACATATATGATTTACTCGTTAAAGTGTATGAAACTACTGATGACCGAAATTCAGCATTAGATTCATATATATAATTATCAAATATTCCCATATAAAATTCCAGAAAAGCCACCATAGTAATGGGCATCAATCATCATGATTTTTCTCAATTTTTTTGAACGAGTAGATTCTTCTGTATTAGTTGAAAAATTCCTTACACTTTTTAAAAATTTATTGAGGCATCCAGCGAGTACAAAAGAGTATAACTAGTATAATGGACAGTGAGAAACTCCTCGCCTTGGATGATATTAAAGTTTATGGATTTAAATTACAATTAAACTTTTAAAAAATGACTATTTGAGTTAATATTTCAAAAAGTTTTGATTTAAAAAGCTTTTTTTTTTTGTGTGTGTGTTTTGGCTTGGACAATTGTCATTCAGCCAGTCTCAATCAAGGTAAGTTTATTAATGTAGTGTGTGCGTGTGTGTTTGTGTGTGTATAGAGTAATTTTCTTGATACTTAGCAAAGTCGACGTCATTGTCTTTGCTAAGAGACGCTAATTGTATCCGAACGTCTGCGGTCCTTCCGGTGTGTACCGATCACACAAGGATAGAAATTATTTTCATTTATTAATTTTTTTAATAAACGAAAATTTCCACCCAGGTGGGATTCGAACTCACGACCTTTAGGTTTAAAGGCAGGCGCTCTTAAGGAGGGTCTGACGCCTTCCACATAGAGTTAATATTGGCGCCTTTTTGAATCGGTCCTGCTCTTCTCTTTCTTAGCATTTGGGATTCTAGCTCGTATCTTCCAACTGAAAAGTGGTCTGAGTTAATATTGACACCTTGGTAGATGCAGACATCCATTAGGTTGGATGTGTCTAGCCTATAAGCACGTGAGCAGTTTGGTCATTCGTTAAGCCTTCGGGAGGGTCCCAAGTATAAGTATTTCTTTATGTGAAAACCAGTTAAGGTCAGTCTCTGGGGAAATTGTGACGTCAAATTTCAGTAGATCTGTGGAGACTATTAATTCATTCCGTGTAATACACTATTTAGAAGAAAGTTTATATGCCAAATAATTCTGGTCAGTATTTCTAGTCTATGTATTTCTAAATTGTAATGTCTTGAAGAATCTTTTGCTTCAAATTTCACAAAAGGTTTTTCATCAGTATGTACACTCATATGTATTTTTAAATGGTAGCTTTGTGAAAACACTTTCGAAGCAAATTTCACACACAAAAGGTTTTTCTCCTGTATGCACCTGCATATGTCTTTTTAAATTACCTTTTATTGAAAACTGTTTTTCGCAAATTTCACATGCAAAAGATTTTTCCCCAGTGTGTACTAACGTATGTTTTTTAAGCATGAACTTCCTAGAAACTGTTTGTTTTAAATGTCACATAAAAAAGGTTTTTTACCAGTATGTACATTCAAATGCTTTTTAAGATTAGAACTTTGTGTAAATGATTTCTTGCATAGTTTACATGTAAAATTTTTTTCTTTACTGTGCATTCTTTCGTGTATTTTTAACACAGTCTTTGTTATACACTGTTTAGAACAAATTTTACATACAAATTGTTTGTCTCCAGTGTGTATTCTCATGTGTATTTTTAAATGGGAGGTTTGTGAAAACACTTTTGAGCAAATTTCACACACAAACGGTTTTTCTCCAGTATGCACTCTCATGTGTAACTTTAAGTGATTCTTTGTTGAAAATTTTTTAATACAAATATCGCATCCAAACGGTTTTTCCCCGATGTGTAGCCTCATATGGTCTTTTAAGTTGGACATGCCTGAAAACGATTTGGAACAAATTTCACACACAAAAGGTTTTTCTCCGGTATGCACTCTCATATGTATCTTTAAATTATAATTTCTTGTAAATTGTTTAGTGCAAATATTACATGCAAAAGGTTTATTCTCAGAAGTCAAATACTTTTTTTCTCCAGTGTGGATTCTCATATGCGTTTTTAAATGGTGGCTTCGTGAAAACAGTTTTGAGCAAATATCACACACAAACGGTTTTTCTCCAGTATGCATTCTCATATGCATCTTTAAATGATAATTTCTTGAAAGTTGTTTATTACAAATATTACATATAAACGATTTTTTTCCATTACGTATTCTCATAAGTTCTTCTAGATTTGACTTTTCAGGAAACATTTTGGAGCATATATCAGAAGTCAAATTGTTTTCTTCAGTGCTCAGACTTGGATTAGCAATTAAATATTGATTCAAGTTACTGCTGTTTCTAATATGATCTGTAAATTCGTTGCTACCATGAGTTTCTACCTCTTCCCAAGGAAAACCTAAAATAATTATGTATTAAACCAGTAAGCATTATTATTTAATCAAAAGAAACATAAAGGATGGAAGGTTGTGTATACTGGAATATTGGATTTTAATCATTAATTTTTTGAAGAGTTGCTATAAAATCAGATGCATAAGGAATTAAAGATAAATGTATTAATACAAATCATTCACTTTTGATTGTTTCATTGCATATAATGATATAAATAGGTACAAATTCGTAGAGACTTTTCAGTTACACTTTTTTTAATTAAATAAGTACATATATGATTTACTCGTTAAAGTGTATGAAACTACTGATGACAAGAGTTTTAGAAACTAAACCTGCGCGAGTAGTCAATGCAGACAACCGAAATTCAGCATTAGATTCATATATAGAATTATCAAATATTCCCATATAAAATTCCAGAAAAGCCACCATAGTAATGGGCATCAATCATCATGATTTTTCTCAATTTTTTTGAACGAGTAGATTCTTCTGTATTAGTTGAAAAATTCCTTACACTTTTTAAAAATTTATTGAGGTATCCAGCGAGTACAAAAGAGTATAACTAGTATAATGGACAGTGAGAAACTCCTCGCCTTGGATGATATTAAAGTTTATGGATTTAAATTACAATTAAACTTTAAAAAAATGACTATTTGAGTTAATATTTCAAAAAGTTTTGATTTAAAAAGCTTTTTTTTGTGTGTGTGTGTTTTGGCTTGGACAATTGTCATTCAGCCAGTCTCAATCAAGATAAGTTTATTAATGTAGTGTGTGCGTGTGTGTTTGTGTGTGTGTAGAGTAATTGTCTTGATACTTAGCAAAGTCGACGTCATTGTCTTTGCTAAGAGACGCTAATTGTAT